TGTACAATGCTTACAGCCTTTACAATGTCTACAAGTCATACATTCTAGCCTGGAGTCCGTATAGAACCTAATGCTTGGCTTCAGGGTGCCCACTTGTATCTTTTTGTTGAGCATACGCTAAGAAAAACAGGAGAGAAGGGTGCATAAAGAGGAAATACTGCCCAAATATCAGACAGTCACCTACTACCCACACCATTTTCACCGATGGCTGTCAAAGGGAAAGGGATTAAGTAGATGAAGATACAGCTGAATAGATATACTGGAATATTTTAGCTCAATGACTTGTCTCTGACAGCAAACAAGGGTGCATCCTTAGGTGAGAGTATACGAATTGCAAGGCCTATAATAGCACTTTCCTAACCTCCAAATTGTGTGCTTGGGGATCCCTGAGGCAGCCATAGTCTTTCTGAGTTTTCATAGTCCTCAGAGAATTGCTCTTTTATGAATTCACTTAAAAAATTTTACCATCTACGTTCTGCTGTGCCAAGACTTCAGCAACTTAGCTGTTTGTAGTTAATTAGCCTTCTTCTTTTGTGGGTTTTGGACTTGCCACCTGGTGACAGGATTGCAAATCGTAAAAGAAACAAACAAACAAACAAAAACCTCTTTGTTTTTTAATTTTTAAAAAGCTATTTGAAATAGTACTGTGTGTGAAAGGATATAATACACAGATTTAGCAGGGGAAGCTCTCACTTAGGTATACGCAGGAGGGGAGTCCCATAACACACAGTGTGAGCATGAAGATGCATGGTGATGTCCCTTTTCACCCCCCATTTCAAATGGATGTGCATCTGCCACTGCAGAATCTACATTTTCTCTTATCATTGTAACAGTGTTTAAATACTGTTAATAACTGAAAGAGCATTGCATTTTAGTGAATTTGCTTGTCCATAAATTTCCTGGTTTTTACTGAAGTATAAGTATATTGGTTTATACTTATTATACTGAAAATAACAAGGTTTTTTTTTTTTAAGACATGAGCAATAAGCACTAGTATTTAAACTTGTAAGTTTTAAGTATACATATCTTCTCACTGCAACTTTTCTCTTTTCCTCTTCTTCTTACTGTTATTAACCAAAGCAAATGGAGGAAGAATGGAGAGTGACAGGAATTCAATTTGCAAGTGCTGGAATGCAAATTCAGTGATACTAATATCAACCCCTACTGAATTTTTGCATTTAAGCTGCCGATAAACTTCCTCATGCTGAGAAGAGTAATTTCATTTTGTGAAGAACAGGAGGAAAGCTGTTTTAGTATAGGGTCCAAAATTAGAAACCATACTGGACCAAAAGAAATGGATTTTAACTTTCATTTTCTAGGTGATTTTTTTTAAATGTAAAATAACATTTTTCTTTGTAATTCAGAGTAAGGTAGTTAAAAAAATATTTTAATGTGCCTTTCAGTTATGGTTTGACTCGTTTTGAAAAATAAAGTATGATAAGTGTGATAAATGATCACAATCATTTTAATAAATAAGTTAGGTGAGTGACTACAGTTTTTAACCTGATCAGTAGTCTGCTTACAATATTGCTAAGAAACGCAACGCACATGGCAGATCTTGAACAGCTCCTGTGTTCATCTGTAGCTCGCACAGCGGTCATAAACATTAACTGGGAATCTAAACGTATTTCTTTGAACATAGTTTAAACATATGTAAGATTTTTACTGTGATTGTGGTCAGGTTTTGTAACAGCAATGAAAAGAAGACTACATTCAAGCCAGTGATTTGAAAACTGCGATGTCTTTAGTTGGCATTAGTTGATAAAGAAAGAAAATTGCAACGGACACAACTGATAGGGCAAAGGTGGAAACAAATACCAAACCCATCTCAAGAGGGTTATACTAGAGTAAAGGAAAAGAACATAGAAGAAAGTTACAGCAGTATAAGATATTATAGGAGTGTAGGAGATGTTTGATTACCATAACACTTTTTTGATAAAATATGTTTTCAGATGATACTTTTTCCTAATGCATTCCACAAAAATATTTTGAGTACAAGAGCTGTGCTTATTTTTAAAAGATGTTTTGCAGTACTCATTTTGGTTCCTCAACAGCAATATTTCACGAACTGCTACTGTGCAGAAATTGCTGTAAATCTCTTTATATCTATTTTTTGTTCTTAAATAGGTGCAGCTTTCGTGCACTGATTATTTTGTATTTGGTCTTTTCTAACAATTTATTAGAAGGTTGATACTGGGTTTCAAAATAAAATCTATAAGACTGTTGTTTAAATAACAGCTTCACAGTATACTAAAAACTTATTACAGCTTGAATTTATAGGGAGCAGAGAGACTTATGTCAGCTTCTGTGGGAAGCTGTCAGCCCATAAAGGCTTACAGGAGTCCTTCCATGGACTACTTTTCGATCTTTAAGTCTTTTTTTTTTTTTTCTGTATTCTGAATTTTTTGTCCCAGGCTGCATCTTTCTCCATCTTTATCTGTCATCACTATTAATGGCATGAGTGATCATTTGGTCAATCAGTACTGAGCTCTGATACCTTCTTTGCTGTGGCTTTATCAGACGTGCAGCCATATGAAAATCAGTAGAATAAAGATTACCTGACCTATGCTGATAGTTTGTCTCTGTCTATTTCCAATGAAATTTACTGAACACATCATTTATTAGAGTGGTTTGGAATGCCTGTTTGAACTGCGTAGTAGTAACTATTGTCTTTTAAATCAAATAAAGGTCCTGGTGTTTAGCAGCTGTTAACCTCAGGGCCCATGAATCAAGTTCTGCTTGAGGAACAAGAAGCGTTGATTCACAGAGAATCAGAGGACTACTCTTCTATGCAGAATTTAAACTCTGAAAAGCATTCTCTGTTCTTTTAAAATGTGTTTTTAAAAGTTTTAATTAAACAATTAATATTTTTCCTTCAGCAGCTTATGACAAAAGTAGTAGAACAGTACAAGGAACATTTTTATGTCAATTACTTTCCATGATCCATGGAAACCCTGATCCATGATCAGGGTTTTTCTATGCCTTATGTTTTCTTTATCTAAAAACTTTAAGGAAAAATCATTCTGATTGGTTTCTAATTGTGGGGTTTTTCTATGCCTTATGTTTTCTTTATCTAACAGTTAATCTAACAGAATAAATACAATGTCTCTGTTTCACTGCTTGCTGGTCCGAATCTGTTTTGCTTGTTATTTGTCAAAATTCATTGCCATGTGCAGTATGTTAGAAGTATAAACACTATATCTTTATATACGTGCATTCAGCAAAATCTTCTTTGTTTACTAGAAAAGGAGGTCTAGGGAAAAGTATATATATATTTCTGTAGATGTTACGAATGGATATAGTGCTATACATACTGTATGGTTTTAAAAGATTTTAAAATGCGAAAACCAAGATGGGAATATATAACAAATAGAAGAGAAGAAAAACTTATATTTTCTTCTAAAACTCATCATTACAATGGAAGAGATGATCTGTATTCTCTGATAGTAATATAATTTTATTTGGTGAATTAAACCCTTTAACGTTCAATTGTATGGTTTGTCCATACAGAAACAGATTACTTCCTAGAAAAATAATTGAGCATCCTTGTTTTTATCCTTTAAGTACACCCTAAAACATAATATAATCCCATAAAGGAGGCTTGTTAAACTAAACAACAGTAGCATGTTTAATGATGATCTGCTAACAAAACATTCTAGCTAATCTCTGATTAGTGATCACATTTCAACACCAATCCGAAACATAGGATAACTGAATTCCTTAAGACATAGGCCATCTGCAAAAAAACCCAAATTCTGTCTTCATTTAATTTCTTTAGTACTTGACAGTGACTAAGGCAAACGGATCTTGAATCAGAAGATCAGTCAGTCACTCTGGACAAAAACAGATTAGATCTTCCCAAAGTGCCAGAAGTACTTACATGGTCTTTTATGTAGTGGACTGTAGACTTGCAGATGTGGTAGTAATATTTGTCATCCTTGCTTATTGTACAAACCCCTGCTTTTTTAATGTTTTAATTTTGTTTCAGTCATCCTTGTATTTCAAGCATTTTTATTTTCCCATAACTATCTTTATCAAATACTCAAAGTGAAATAGGTATAGAAAAAGGGGTTTAATAAAGGGTCCCTTTACACAATACAAGTAGAAATTCCTTTCAAGTTAGTTGCATTTTCTTTGCAATAAATTTGTATCCATTGTAGAGGCAGAAAAATTAGTTTCTCTCAGTAAAATGGGAGCAGAATTGCAGTATATGTCTGGGATCCTTTGGGGTAGTCTCTGACCACAGCCATTTCCATTAAAAAATAGCCTTTTGCATCTGTATCACATATAATATTACAATTCATATCTCTAAAAAAAAAAATCCTGTAATCATAGTAGGATCATGGGACTAAAGATGGGAAATAAGGGTTTGAGAATCTGTCTACTGGTTTTTCATACTTTGTCTTATGGTATGGTAGGTCAGATGCATCACAAGGTCTTTTAAGCTATTTTCCCTTTGAAAAAGGATCTAAAAATCATTGTATAGTCACAACACACCGCCAGTGTGTTAGCCAGCAGTGACTGTTTGCAGTGTTGGTAGCTACAGCAAATTACTAAGGTGCATCAGGAGTCTTTTATTAGCATTGGTGTTTTCTTCATGCTAGAATCTAAGTACACTGGCGGAGGGGTATACCCAGTTACACTGGGGCCTGTGGGTATTGTACCTGTGATGTGAGTTAGCATGCATTAATAAAGCTGTAAATTGAAAACACATTTTGACCACGGAATTAATTTGAAACATTGAAAAGGATTAAAAAATTGATAAGAGACTGATTTATGACACATATGTTTAGTGACAATTTCACTATTCTGAAGTACTACCAGGTTTCCATTTTATATAACTATTAGAAATGCTAATACAAGGTGCCATCAACATCACACCAAATTTAACTTGAGACATCCAACATTATTATTTTTCTTTGTTTTTTTTTTTTTTTTTCCCTGTAGTTAAAAAATAAAGTATTGATAGATGGTTATCTCGTGTCCTTTTATACTTGCAGACGGTTTGACAAATCTTTGGAAAAGTGGCGGCTTTTTCATTGTGACATGAAGAGCTTTAATCATTGGCTAACTGAAACTGAAGAGAAGCTGTCGAGAGCACAGATAGAGGAAGGAGACGTGGGTCATGTGAAAACCAACCAATTTCTCCAGGTATGATTTGATTACCCATTTCCTGGTTTTCTGCAGTGATTAGAAATTTGCAAATCTGGGTACTCTATAGTTTTGCAGTTCATTTAAGAAGGATTTCTAGTGTTGAGTGGCCAGTAGCAATTTTGGTCAGATATTTCTGTTGTCCTTGTTAACTAAGAATTTTCACTGGTTTGTTGTAAAATACATTTTTAAAAGAAGTAAAATATAGGATAACATGGTATATTGTGGTGCTTCCATAGTTATATATTTGTTTGGTCTTTATTTAAAGTGCTCATTAATTTTCGTTTGATATTTATGACCAGTAGAAGTATCAGACTTAATTTTAAAATCCTGTGGAAGAAAAGTGATTAGCCATTGAGGTGTACAAGAGATATTCCGTGAACTATGTCTTGCAAGTGTTGCGTATTTTGCCTGTTTCATGTTTTAATCAAAGAACCTTGAGAATGCTTTTTGTGCAATGCAGTGTGACAGAATAGCCACTTAGTTCCTGTGTGTCCAGTACCAATTTGTATGCTTTTCATCTTGCAAGCTCTTTGAGCATCATAAGAAAAATAATAACTCTAGTTTCTTGGTAGTTTATTTCATTTCCCTCTTGTATGATTGAAATGGTAATGGGTATGAAGAATTAATTCTAAACTGATATTTTGCAAGTTGATAGATTAAGCTGAAAAACACGGCTTGACTAAACTCTGGATTCATGTTATAAATTACTACCTGTGCATAAGAAAAAAAAATCTATTAAACTAATCTGCATTTGCACATTTGAATTGCTGGATTTCAGGTTGAAAGAAGTTAGGTCTATCTAATATTACTATTTTATTTTGAATGTAACACTTATCTACATTTGGCCTATAGTTAAAAAATTATTATTTTTTTAATTTTAATATTTAAAGTCACCTTTTCAAGATTTAGGCTGCTATTTCTTGACTATAAAACTGTTGACTTGAAAAGGAAACCAAATCATGCAGTACACATATAAAAAAAAAAAAAAAGGATATAACTGTTAAGTAATACATTAAGCTGAAGTAGTTAAAATAGCAGGGAAATATTTTTCTGCAAATGACTATCAACGCTTTGAACACTGAAGAAATCTAAGATCTGGCTCACAAAATAGAATGTCATCAAGGAATTAAAGATGCTCTTTATTTTGTATGTAAAAGATAGCAGAGTTCATGCGTATCTTCACTGAAATTTCATTTTAATTTCTCTGCCCCACAGTTTTACGCATTTCTTTGAAAAGCATATAAAATACTGAAGCAAGACATGAGTATCTATGTGATGAATAATAACACAGTGTCACAAAGCCTTACCCTTTCTTCTTTGCTTTGCCTTTGTTCCATCACCCTTCTCAATACTATTCTGGTATCCTTCAGCAGTCAAGTGAGCATTTAGGAAAAAAAAAAATGGATCTGTGGAAAAAGTGTTTGTCTCCTTTTTTCTAACCCCTTTCTGAAACATTTTTTTCCCTCTGAGAAGAGGTTGATTTTTGACAGCACCCAGACCAAGGTAAGATGTATCACAGATGTTACAAATTCATTTGTAGTGCATTTCACAGTCCAAACAGATTAGAAACATTATTTTCTTGTCATCATTGAGAAAGAAGTTCATGCTGAATTGAACATCATGCTGAAAGACCCCGAGATAATGCCTTGTTATGCAGAAGCTTAGATTTCAGTGTAGAATAAGACTGCTTCTGTTTTACATTTCCCTTTGACCTAGCCTCCTTCTCATCTGTTATCCATTTGTTATTTTCTTATGCAGTATGTGAGAACATTTTGAACATAGGTTAGCAGAATGGATTTCTACCAGGATTTTCTTTTTGCGGTCCATCTTGCTTTTTATTTCTTCCTTTTTCCCTTGTGTTAGAAATCCCAAGAATTCACAAATTTATCTCTCAGGCATTTCATTTAGTTAGCACAACAGCCGGAAACTACCTTTGTAATGGAAATTCACATAGTGTGAAAATATTCCAACTAACCTCAAGAATGCCGACCTAGTATTAGTTCACATTTATTTGTGAAAGAATGTTTAGTCTGAAGTTGCATTGTTCCCTATATCTTCATTGGTTCTTCCTTTATTTTGCTAGGTCTTGTTTCAAAAGCATTAGGCTTCTGTGAGGCTGACAGATGAGATCATTAGGATTTCCATTAGGTAAACAGTTAAAACAGCTGAGCATTTTGATTTACTAGATTAGCAACTTGTTTTATTAATGAGATCATGCCGCTAAGTGAACCATATTCAGAATTAACAGGATTTGTTTGAAAATGCTTTCACAAGCAAGTGAATAGTCTTGTATTCAACAAGGAACTGTTTTAGAAAAAAAATTATACAAAACATTCACATGTGTAGTATTATTTCTAGGTAGGGCTTCTTTGAAAAATAAAGATGTAAAGTAAATACATAAAGTCAAATGTTAATGTAAAATGAAACAGTCAACAGTGATTAGGTTAATACAGGTTAAGAGGTAATTACATTCTTTCAGGTGTATTTGGGGAGGCAAGGTATGTTCCTTTTTACTGCACAATGGCATGATATTAAACACATTTATGCATTATATATAATGTGAACAAAATCTAATAATAGAATTGTTTCATTTCAGGTCTTGAATACTTAAATACTCATATTGTGAATTTTTCACTAAGACTTTTTGATAGCAGAACTTGTGGTGTTGAAAAGAAATATCACATTTCAGTTTTTAAAAAATTGTAATTAACTTCTTTTATGATTAGGAGACACAGGATTTAAAAGGATGTTTTACAGATAACACGTCATATAATCCCTTTGAAACATATTAAACTCTTTAACTTGAAAGTTAAAGATTTTTTTTTGCTCTCATTACTCTGACCGAAAGGCTTTTCTGTCTCTTCACTCCTTAACATTTGGCAACTTTAACTTCTTCAGATTCCTGCATCTGTACTTAGTTTATTTATTTTTGTGCCAACACTGAGTAGTAGTTCTGTTTTATCTACTCCCTGATGTTTATCCCCTTCTGTTCTTATAGGCTGCAGTAATTTCTCGTATTGAATCTCATTTGGTAAACTAAAGCCACAGTTTTCTAATGTGCTTTCATATGATAGCTGGCCAACTTGACTCTTGTTTCCTGTGCCTATTCCTCTTTCTGGAACATGAGTTCTCAAAATAACAAACTATCATTGAAACCGAAATACCGTCTGTACCATCATACCAGGTGCTGTATGTTATGGGTGGATCTTACCATGGCTGAATATCAGAATATCATTTGTAATCATCTATCTAAAATTTATTATTTCATATTTTTCTTGTACTTTGCCTTGCAACTCAAATCTACATTCTATTTCATATGCTAAAAAAAAAGTGCAGGTTGTACTGGAAATTAATGCCAACTTATTATGCAACAAAGACACAAATAAGAATTGGGAGGGGGGCGGTGTTTGCGTGCCATAGATAAATGCCGAAAAGACAGCTACAAAAAGAGGAATTCTTCAACAATTTTGGATCTAGACTGCCAAGTTACATCCCTGAATCATTACCTCAGATTTTAAAAATAGTTGTCTTATTTAAAAATATAGAACATCCAGAACATTTGTTCTTTACACTGATGTTAAGAATTGCTGAGCAGTCTATATTTAGTATCTGCTTTTGGATTGTAAGTTTATTTTATTATTTTAGGTGGTGTGTTTTTCTTAATAGTAAAATAATTAGGTTCTAGGCCTGAATTTTGAAACCATTTCTTTGTGTTCACAATCTTCATCTATTGTGACTAGCCAGTGATGGGTACTTCCCACTGAACAGGCAAGGGCTGGACTTTAGTTATTTTCTGGAATTTCATTGTTTCAAATATATTGCTATTTTATAATTATTAATTTCTCAAGTATTTACTTTCATTTACAGGCATAAATATCAAGGATATTTAGTTTATTTTTTAAGACCATAGAGGACCTTAAATTATTGGGTGGTGGTCTTATTAATTATACTCAAACTTCTGAGGATATTGTGGATATAGAAAGTGCTTTTAAGTTACAGATCTCTCTTACATTGTTCATACATTGAATTGTCCAGCAGTTACATTTTGGAGTACTTATCCAAGCCTGCAAAAGGCTTGTGGATGACTTGTGCCTTCTCTAGACCGTCCTTCTTCTGCACTGTGTTAAGAACATCACATTTTTCTCTTGTAGATGTTTAAATTAAAAAGACATAGAGAATGAAGGCTTTGTGCTGAAAGCCATGGTCATGGTAATAATTTCTCTCTTTTATATCTAAATGGGATTATATGGATATTGATGATTCAATAACCACTAAATTTAAACAGTTCTTTTTGGAAAACAGCACAAATGGAATCAGAGGATATGGGAGAAAAAGTGTGTTTCAGTGCTTGAGGCCACATATTCTCATACCATGAAAACACAGTGGCGAGTGGATAGTTTATTCTATTTCCTTCCAAATATAAAACTTATAAAAATACATTTTTATATAATAATTGTGTCTTTCATATTTTAGATTTTATATTTTAGAATTATTTTCTGCTTTACTGAGTGATAAAGGCTATGCCAATAATCTCTGATTCTTCTTGTTCCACTTCAGATTCCATTTGGGTTCAAATGGTTATATTTTGTTCTATTTGGATGAACTTTGTTGCACCTGGTTCAGTTTTGACTAGTGGGTTTTGGTGTTATGAAATATTTTCAGAGAAATAGTAGAGATGTAGCAAAATATTCTTTCTGGTCAAAGTGATGTCTATGATTGCTTAATGAGTCTACAAGAGATAGAAAATATAGAATGTGGAATCAATGAGAAACCAATTTAGCATTATTTTAGAGGAATCTTTAATTAGAATTATCATGGTACTTACTGTAATGTCCTTCATATTGCAACGGCATATCTGGAAGGATGTATATCTGGCAGTAATGTATTATTGGCTAATATTTTATTAAACTGAAAGCACACAATCCTTTGCTATTACATTGAAAACAGATTCTATAGTCTTTAGTTTAGTTTAGTTTCATTGACTCTCCTTACAATTTTACACTTCCTTAGTACTTTGACTAAATGTTCTGAACTAAGCACTAAAATGTTCTAGATGTGATTGCCAGCCTACATGAATGCCATCAGTTCTCATTTGCGTATCGATGGGAGAGAAGCTTACTCTTTCTTTTTACTGAATATCACCCTCTTATCAAACACCTCTGAGTGCAGTATGCTACTGCCTCTACGAATAAAAGCCTAGACTTAGCGATATGCCATGGATTTCGGGTTTTTGTCCATAGTTTCTAAGGTCTTAGTAGAAACGTTTCCAATATTATATGTGAGCTCTGCATCAGACACCTGGGCCCTAACTGAGCAAAACACTTCTTTTTCTGGTTTAAGGTCATCTTAAAAACAAATTCATGGGCCTTTCTTGACTGAAGTGCTATCGCAATGAAAAGACTTCACTTTCAGTTAAGAAGAGGAGGACATCACAATTCCTAGTAAAATAGTTACTGCCTCTTTCCTATGCCAAGCAAAATATTAAATAATACTGTAATCTTTTTAAGTAATATATTTCTGTATATATAAAATTCCTAAAAACTTTCTTTTACTGTTAAAAGATTCCTCACCGTTGTTGCGATGAAATAGTTTATCCTGAATTTGTAGTAAAAACATTTTCTTGTCATGTCAAGCTATAAGAAGTATTATTTCATAATTATATCAGTTAGTTAATTCTTCTCTATTGCACACAGTTCTACATTATTCTTCATTCTTGATTCACTGTGTCCTATTAAAAGTTTTTAATTAATTTGTTGCTGCCAGTAATGAGACATTAAAATGTCTGAAGGCTATGAGAAGTAATACATTTAAAGTTGCTTATGTGGTTCTGCCTACTTTTACACCATTAGATGACAATTCATAGCTTCTATTTAGATTTTATTGGAAATCCTGGCATAGGTTATTCAGATCACCGAATTAAATCTTGTAAAGTAATTAATTAGGATGCGTTTTTCAAACATTTCATTATGAAACTTTTTGAACTGTTAGCACGTGTAGGTGCATAGTGACATAATTGTTATACATGACAAGAATGAATAAACATGGGTTTTTTCTTTGTCTTGGAGAAAACAGTGTTCTTGAACTGGATCAGTCAAACTTCCTGGTACCTGACTGTAACTGTCTCACTGTTTGAGGGATTCATCCTCACCAGTTCAAGTGGTTATAGAGTACTAGCACATGGGGATCTGGGAAAGAGACTGAGGTTTATTCCCATTTCACAAGCATTTTTTTGTGTGTGTGTAAAAAATAAAGGAAATCGAGGATGCAATTTTTTTCATACTAATGAAGTTGTCTTACTTTCAGGGCTAATCTGGACGTTTATAATCAGTGACACATACAGATAATACACTTCAGATTCAGCAAATTTATTAACATTTTTACCACAGTATAAATAGAGTAGTTAATCTGACCACATCTAGGAAGTTTTGGGAAATGAATGACTAAATGAATGACTGCTTTGAAGGAGGATTATGTTTGTTCTTTTGCCTAACAAAACATTTATCTAATTTCCTTCCATGTCTTTCAAAAATACATCTCATATTGCATCACTATGGCACATGATTAAATTGGTGGGTGTTGATGCACAGATGTGAAGATAAGACAGTCTTATGAGACTTGAACTCTGTCACTTAATGACTGGTAAGCCTGGGAGTCTTTCTAGGTCTTCTGATGTGAATAATTAACCAATAAAAATGCTTACATAAAACAATCAGGGAAAGGTAATACTTGTGGAATAATTTTCTATACATATTAGTTATGTAAATTAGTACAAATATGTCTTGCTGTGGCCCTTTTCATGCATAGCTTTATTCATCTTATTTAGAATCTTTCATCCCAACAGATCTTGCAAACTCTATCCATCACATACAGCTTTTCGTTACCGTCTTATTTTAGACTAAAGCCATAAAGTAAAGCCGTATAGTAAGCACACTGGACAAGACAGCAGGTTGCTGTTATTTGCTTTAAAAAGTGAACTGTTCAAAAAACCAAAACACCACAAAACCTGCATTATAAAAATATGCATTATGAAAAGCACTTAATGTTTACACAGAGCAGACAGCAAAGGGATCAGCATCTGCCCTTAAACTGTGTAAAAAATACTTTAGCTAAATTTACTTATCCTAATTTTGGAAGTCAATTTTTGTCAGGTTGTGATGAACTGTCTTATGCACTTAGGTGTATTACAGTAAGTTCCTTTTATTTTGACAGCCTTTATAGGCACCTTTGCAGAGGCGTTTTTTTGTTACTATAAGGAAAGGAGTCAAAGGAATTGGGTATGAGTTTGGCCAGTGATGGGTGGATGTTGAAGGATGGAGCTTTTGGCTAGACTATTTTACTGTTGCTCATTTCAGATAAACTTATCAGTTCATTTATTTCTCCAAGGCGTTATGGTATATAGAGAGACAGAATGTAGCATGTGTGGAAATAGCAGTAACCTGCTTGAGTTGTTTAAATAAAACACTTCTACCTTACAGCAAACTTCCAACATACTTCTTTCCTACTTAATATTTGGATGTGAGATCCATCTCATAAAAACAGGTCCGGAGTAGGCATCTGTATTTGAGCTTGTAATCCTGATCTTCCTTTGTAGACAAATTAAAATAGTCACTTCTAGGATGAAGGTCACCTGACCTTTCTGAGATAGCCAGAATATTTGAAAGTGAACTGTGACAGCATTGGATGTGTTAACTTCTCCAGAAAAAACAAACAAACAAACAAAAAAACCCAAAAAACCCCAACAAAAACCCATCAACCTAAGTTAATATTTTATTTGTAAATTTTATTTAGTTGTTAGTTTTTTGTTTGTTTGTTTGTTTTTTATTTTAAAAGATAAGATAAGCAGTCATGAAAACATAAGAATCTGAAAATATTTCAGAATGAATTAACTTCAGGTGTGCTCCTTCCTCCCTTGAATGCATATTTCATCAGGTTTTGAATATTCAGGGATTACTAGTACTAGTGAACCAGCACTGATGTTAGCTAGAATGTATTACAAAGTAATGTATTCATGCTGAAATAAATATATTTTCATAATTAGACTAGGCATTTTGCTACAGTACAGAGATAAAATTCATTGAATTATTCACTGCATGTAGTAGAAAAGAACAAAAAATATTTAAATTAATTGTATTTCCAGTGTTTCTGTGAACACCAGAAGTATTGAAGCTGTAATTCCTAGGGTTTTGTGTTTTGTAGTTCTCTGTAAGTTCTCGTTGAAATGTTTCCCATTGTGGGGGGCTTTATAAGGTGTTTCTTTTTTTGTGTGAATTCTCAGCTGTTTACCAAGGTCTACACACTATACCTGTTTCCCTGTTAGTGACCAATAGATTCTGTCTTTCTTTATCTTGTTGCCTTTTTTTAAAAAAATAAATTATTTTTTTAGATTCCAATCTTCTGTCATATTTATTTAAAACCAGTCAGAATATTTAAAGCTAAGGGGGAAGGTTCAGTTAGAAAATAGAATATTTAAAACTAAGGGCTAAGGTTAGGGTGGAAAACAGACCGACAGATAATCAGAGAGCTCAATCATATAAACTTAAAAAAAATCAGACTGAAAACTCAGTTAATTATTTTCCAAAAAGTATTTTCTTTAAAACGATTTTGTTTTTTTCATTAAAGAGTTATCAAATACTTCATTATCAACAATTACTTGTCAGAAAACTTTTTAGATGGAGGCCGCTTCTTTCTTTTGTCCTGTTTAGAGCTCCCTGAAGAAATTTATTCTCACTTATGTTGCTCACATCATCCTAGTTTGCAGTCGTGTATGCAATTAACTTTCTTTCTAAAACTAAAACAAAAAAAAGTCATATGATTTCAGTAAAGCTTCAAGACAACATTAGATATTTATAGTAGATACTGTTTGATCTCAATCTTTTTTTTTTTTTTTTTTTTTTTTACTTCTACAGGCAGTAGATATTATATTGCCTGGTTACTTTTCTAAAAAATGAACACAATACAGATATGCTGTACCTTCTCACTCAAAATCCAAACTTGCAATAGATGAAAAAAAAAACCTATAAAAACTACACAATTTTTTAAATCTGTTTGACTTTTCACAATGGAAGTGAGACCACTATAGAAAAAAATCTTTTATTTTATAGGTCTAAGTATTTTGCATTTGTTGAATATATTCTAAATTCAAACAATAATTCTGCCTTGATTCTGAATAAAAGGAGAAATAAATATGTTCTTTTGCCCTACATACTCAGACTGTTTAAAAGCTTCATTTTTTTTATTGAATGATTTAAGGATGTGTAATGAATTGTGGAGTGTGGCAAATTCCAGTTTATGCATCGATTGGAACAAGAATATAATAGACTTTTGTACTTGTCATCTGGCTATATAAAATTTCAGATGTACATATATCCAAATTTTGCTGATTTAAGAATGATTTCTTGAGGTTGGTTTGGTTTTTAATGAAGGCAGGAAACCCTTAATGTACATTAATCTATATGGGACACTCCTGTCAAAAAATGCTAGGAGAAGGGAAAGAAGAAATGAAAGAGAACATATTTTGAGCAGCTTTTCCAATATACAATTACTGTATTAGGATGGCAAATATTTGCCAATTTCACAGTATTATGAGGTGTCTCATGATATTCCGTCAAAAGTGGGCTGTCAAAATCAGTTATTATTTGTCATTTTTGTGGAAATGTAGCATAAGAGAACATTTATAGAGGAGATATAGAGGAGATGTGCTGAAACTGGGCAAGGTTCTGATATTGGGTTGATATTAGAAGTTAAATTAAAATATTCAGAAAACAATTTGGTTATATAATA